ATACCTGGGATGTCTACTGGACTCTTGTTTGGAAAGATTTAGGTGAGTTATTCCTAAGATTTACTACGAATTACAGGCCTACAATATATAACAACACATTTCCATGAAAAACAATATACCACTTTGGGATGCTAAAATCCTGAATAATCATACCGCCAGGGAGGTTAAAGGTAACAAAGGAAATGTAAAAAAGACTGATTTTTGCTGCCACCTTTGATTTATTAAATGCAGCACAACTTCATCTTATTTACTAAGTTCATTGAACATTCACTTTCCTTAGTGAACATTCTCTATCCCTTTAGTAAAGAAACCCTTATGTGTCTTACATGTTGAGTGGTTCCTCTTCATTTATTTGACTGAGACAGATCTTGTTTTAATAGTACTGCTACATCCTCCAATTGCTGTTTTATTCTTTTCAGAAAAAAATGAACACAAATTCGAAAGGCATTCATTGCAATGCTAAATACAAGCCTATACTCAATTTCTTTCACTAAGTCTCTAAGATCCTTAGCAAATGAAATGTGCTTAAAATAAGATTATTGTGTATAATGCCATCTGCAGCAAAATGGCAAAAGTAACATTTTAATTAACTGCTCAATTTGTTACATGTACAACTATCTTTTTGCTGCTCTTAAAATTATTATCTCCATTGTGTTCTTTTAAAAATAAATATTTGGCAGTTTTAGTTATATAACCAGTGGAAGTAATAAAAGGAAACAAAAATGTACATTGTGATATCTTTTCACATTTACAAGCAAATTTCAGTGAAGGAGAACTGCATGGATTGAAAAAATAACAGCCATATAAATATGTCAACAAAAGCAATTGATATTACAAATAGATATAAAATTGCGGTTCTAAGATTACAGCTTAACATTGTTTAGTAGCTTTTCATTTAAACTGTAAATAAATGTAAGTGTACCATTTTCACTGTTATTATTTTTCAAATGAGGCTATCAGCAGTGAATATTCAGTGACGTGTATGCAGTATGATTGTAATTATTAGGGAAGACTAAAGGCAATTAGCATGTTGACTTACTGTTTATCACTATGGCCTTTGAACACTAGGTTGCAAAGTTCATTAACAACAAGGCTCACTCTCTGCTTAAGTTTTTCTTAGGTTTGCAAGGGTTTTCGTCTGGGATCTCTGGATTCCTCCTTCAATCCAAAATGATGCTGGTGGGTCACTTGGCCTCCACCAAACATTTGCCTTAGTGTGTGTGTGTGTGTGTCTCAGTGATAAGGTCATTAGTGTGTGAGCACTTCTGGCTGCAGCAATCAATGTCAATTGTCCTGCGCATTTTGAAACACACTGCCAGCAGTTTCAAGTGAAATCTGATAGAGAAAGATAGAGATTCCAGGAATGCTATTTTCCGTTCACAATTTATGATTCAGACCCTGTCAACATGTGTAGACTTTACTCTTTTCCCCATCCACTCTAAACTGCATGAATGGAGTGATCTCCCCTGCCAGCTGTTGTATTCAAGGAAGCCATGACACCACAGCTGTCTGAATACATGGACAGTGACTGCTTCTAATTAGATGCAGTCACTGTATGGATGACAATTTTCCACCAAAAAGCTGGGTGGTGGCAACAGGGCCACCCACGACTTGAATTTTGGGCAATTTGACAGGAATTAACCAAAATCCAAGCCATGAATGGCAAGTTTGAGGCCTTCTTAACTTCCATGAAGTGTTCCAAGTTCTCCTGTTGCCTTGCTGTAACGTTTAATACATTTTAAACAATTATCATGGATTTTTGGTTGCATTCACTTTCTTATTTATATTCCCATAAATAGGAAGTAGCAGTTCCTTCCCATTCATGTTCACTCACATATATGGAACATGCCATTGACAAAGTAAGCCTAAATATTATTAATCATCATCATCATCCTAAAATTACTGCTAACAAGTTACATGCTACATATGCCTTCTTTCTTTTCTGTTAAATGCCCAATTTTGGATAGAGTTACGAAAGGCTAGAACCCGTCTCAAGTTTTCACTGATATCCAGGGCTCCATTAGAAAGATGTATCCTCATCCTGTCTGCTAACAACATTTTACCTGACAGAAAATGAGGGGAACTTTTTAACCCCTTGCCGTCCGCACATCGTTAAAAATAGGGGCGGACGGCGGATCCTTCCCGGCGGTACGTGATTTTTTTTCTGCTCGTGCGTGCCCCCCACTCAATTTTAAAGATTAACATGTTTGGTGTCTATGTACCCAACGTGAACCCATCTTTTATATTTTTATAACATAACGTAGGAAAAACAGTTTTGTTTTCAAAATTTTCGATGCTTTTTAAATTATGTAGTAAAAAATAAAACCGCTGTGGTGATTAAATACCACCAAAAGAAAGCTCTATCTGTCCCCCCAAAAAATGGTATAACATTAATTTCAGTACAGCATTGCCAGACTGAATAAATGTCAGTCAAAATACTGCAGCGCTGAATACTGAAAAATGGCCTGGGCAGGAAGGGGGTTTACCACCCCGGTCAGCAAGTGGTTAACAGATTCCCAAATATTATTAAAAAAAACTAACAGGAGTTCTACTCATTTCCCACTCTATCCAGAACTAGAAAATAAAGCTTTCACTTGACTTACATTTTAATACTTTTAAGACTTGTGTGTCTATATGATTATGATAGGATCTCTTTTGGGATCCAGGACCAAGGGCCATTGTTCTTTTTATTGACAAAAGCTATTTTTAGTTGATCTGTAACTTAATTGAATAGAAACTTTTAGTTAATGTTTCATAGATGTGTTGAGTTTGTAAAGTTTCACCCCAATGTAGGTCCATACCTTATATATACATGTATACTATATACTGCACATTAAAGGGGGCGTGGCTAACCATCAGTATGACTAGCTGCTTTTGAGTGAGCTCTGCTGAGAGATAGGGACCTTATATTGCAAGATCCTTGAGGGCAGGGACTGGTGTGAAAGTGCAGTATTTAAAGCGCTGTGTGAATTGTCAGCGCCAAATAAATACCTGTATTAACTAAATAAATAATTTCTAAGGAAGGCAGGAAGAAAGTCACTCTTGCTTTTTTTTATACTTTTTGGGCATTTCAAGAATATTGCAAAACCTCAGACCTATGTCTATTTAGACCAAACTAAAGCTCAGAGAGCCTACTCAATGGCCCATACACCAAGATTGCTGGTCTTTGATAATAACATTTCACTTTCTTCACTACCCCTGAACATGCATTAGATTGGCTACACACCAAACAACATCTCAGCTGAAACTGTTGCACCTGGGAATCCCTAATAACTACAGCAATAATCTGAGGGTTGATTTCTTCCTATATCATTCTTATCCTTTGATATCATCTGTTATTTTTATGGAACACTCTGCTGGAATAGAAATGTCATTATATCTAATGTTTCCTGTATAGCAATTTTAATAGGTCACAAGGCTGATTAAGACAGTTAATTGTGTTACTCATATGCTTAGCACAGGCTTACATTATGCCAGACTACTTACATACATATGTGACATTTATGCAGTTAGTACCCCATTGGTATGTCCAGGAAATTATGCTTGATTTTCCAATGTTTCCATTTGTTTCCTGTTATTTTTCTTAACTATCAGGTTAGGTAGCTTTATTGATAGTTCTCAATATCCGTCATATCAATGGTAAATGATTACAGGTTTAAGACTGATACTCCTTCTCCCTTGTATTATGGGGAGTGATTGAATCTGATAAATGTGAATCTGATAAATGTGGATTCCTTTATTTGGAAAATTAAAGATATGGACACTCCACTGAAAATGCTCATTGTATTTATTTATGGTATTTACTGTACATCTTTATCCCTGATCAGCTTCATTTAGCGCACAAAAATTTCTCTAAATAATAATATTTTCTGGAATATTATCAAGGCATTTCTTAGAGGCTCCATTAAATCTACTATCGGCTTTAATAAATAGACCTCCTGACAGGCTGATTAAGAAATTGCTAAAGTAAATAATCTTGTAGAGTCCAACTTTCTTACAGACCCCACTATACTAAGAGAAGAGAAATGGGAGAATGCCATTCACCTTTATAACACCAGACTTCATGAGAATGCCAAATAGAAATGGCTTTAAACTAAATAAACCTATTTCAAATATAGTAACCATTCTAGCAAATTTCTAGCCTTTATTGCAACTTTTTGACAACCCACTACTTCAATTTTTGATATCTGAGGTGCTGATGGTTCCTTAATTGCTAATGCACTGGTGCCGAATCAGTTGTATGAATTTTACCAGTGTATGAATGTATCTACACTTACTAAATCTCAGGACCATTTAAACTCTGTTTAAAACACTACAATCTCTTATTTCGGTTGATCAAATTGGGTTTATGCCTGGTAAGCCTACGGCTATTAATATTTGCAAAACCCTAGTGATGGCTCAAATATTAAGACATATCCTGGAGACAAGCACCTTGGCCGATTTAGATTTTTTGTATTACATAGCAGGGCAGTTGAAACACCTAGTTTCATGGGTCTTTCCTGACAATCATTCTACTTTAGAGTCCCTCTTGGTGCATTTATTGGGGATAGAACAGCTGTTTATTTTTCTAGCATCCCCTAAACTCTTCCCTCATAAATTGCATTTACCAATCTTAAATTTGCCTGTCTCTGTTTGGAATGGAGTGAAATGACTGGTATTTTTTCAGGATCTGTCTGTTGATTTATCTTGATATCATAAGCCAATTCTTGAACCGATATACACTCACTGGCCACTTTTTTAGGTTACACCTCTTTAATTCCTTGGTAACACAAATTGCTAATCAGCCAAGCACTTGGCAGCAACTCAATGCATTTAGGCATCTAGACGTTGTGAAAACGACTTGCTGAAGTTCAAACCAAGCATCAGAATGGGGAAGAAAGGAGATTTAAGTGACTTTGAATGTGGCATGGTTGTTGGTGCCGGACGGGCTGGTCTGAGTATTTCAAAAACTGCTGATCTACTGGTATTTTCACACACAACCATCTCTAGGGTTTACGGAGAATGGTCTGAAAAAGAGTAAATATCCAGGGAGCTGCAGTTGTGTGGAAAAAAATGCCTTGTTGATGTCAGAGGAGAATGGGCAGACTGGTTCGAGATGATAGAAAGGCAACAGTAACTCAAATGTTACATCCAAGGTATGCAGAATACCCTCTCTGACCGTGAAACACATTGAGCCTTGAAGCAGATGGGCTACAGCAGCAGAAGACCACACCGGGTGCCACTCCTGCCGTTGGCTGCCGTTGGCTGCTGTCAGAATAAAAAAAAAAAAATCACCATAGGAATGCATAGCTAGATTCCTATTGGCTATTTCAATTTGCAATAGCAAACTAGCTATTGCACCCGCCCACTGCTGCTATCAGCAGAGGGGACCTGAAGTTCTCCATCAGGTCCCCTCTAGTGATTGAACACAGCAGAGGGCGGGTACAATAGCTAGTTTGCTATTGGCTAATGCAAAGTGAAATAGCCAATAGGAATCTATCTAAGCATTCCTTTGGTGATTTTTTTTTATTCTGACGGCAGCAGAACCACCCGGCCAATAGAAAACAGTTGGGCGGAGCTAGCTGTCACTGCTAGCTCCGCCAAATAATTTTCTATTTTATTTTGTACTATTTTTTTAACTGTTTTTCTAGCCGAGAATAGGCCGAACAGCAGCGAGTAGCCTGCCGGAGGTTCGGCTTAGCTAATCCAGATGTTGGATTGGCTGAGTTGAACTCCTTCTGCACTTCGGGTCTATATATCATTACATCTCTTATATTATATTATTATTATACAGGATTTATATAGTGCCAACAGTTTGCGCAGTGCTTTACAATATAAGGAAGACATTACAATCATAATACAATTCAAGACAAGATGGTAAGGCGAGCCCTGTCCCTGGGGGCTTACAATCACAAAGGCAAGTTCAAAAAATATAGGCATAACTGATATTTTTCTAAAACATTAACAATAATTTTAGAAAAAAAAGACGTATTAGCTCGTCTCAACTTGCTTGAGCTGTTGTGATGTCATAAATGCAGTCAAGATGACATTAGTCTTGGCTATAATCTTAGCGAATTATATACTTTCAAGTTTTTTAAGGCTTTACTATTCACAGAGGTTCAAAAGGGGTGGAAATTGTGAAAACAAATACCAAGGCAGTTACTACTGACCATTGTATTACTTGGCAACCAGCCCTTTTAATTTTATTATCAACATGCAATGCATTTAATCTCATACTTGCAAGGCATGTAGGTGTCTAGCTTGAAAAACTATATTCACTAAGATCTTAAAAACCATAACTATACTGAGCATGATTACGCAGGGAATTAATTCATGTAGTGCTTTTTGTTGGTAGTAGTTTTTTATATGTACAAGACGTATAACAAAAGCTCTAAGCCATTCCATATATTTCACTGCAGTACAATGCAATATTAAGAATATTGCATACTTGGAATGGTTCTCTAGTAGCAAAAAATATAGTATTTGAATAATAAATTGCAATTTCTATCCCTGCTGTAAAAGAAAGAATAACAAACATTATATAGCTGAGAAAGCAAATGTGTTGTTCCTACAGTCTGATACCATATTAAAAGTTTACATTATTCATGTTATGACATGGCAGACTGTGAACAATTAAAGTTACATTAAACCCTCAGATTTTTTAACATAAACCAATACTGTAATGTGTGCCTTACTGTAATCCATGGTAGTTTCCCTTCTTTTTGCTGCTCTTCCTTTTAAATCCTCATGTCTTCTCATGCTTGGGGAGAACTTCCCTTTGCAGCTGATTGCCTCTTCCGGTAGTGCTGGCTCAGGTTGCAAACGTACACACAGACACCATGTAGCCATTCCAGAGACAAGGCAGTCTGCTGAAAAACAGAAGTTCTGCCCAGCATGAGAACAGATCCAGATTTAAAAGGAAGAGCAGCAAAGAGAAGGGAAACAACCATGGATTACAGTAAGGCACACATTACAGTATTGTTTTATGTTAAAAAATCTGAGGGTTTAATGTCACTTTAAGTAGGTATGCAATGTACTTGATCGTGTAACTTGCATACAGTACTTTCAACAATATCTAAGCTGCACTACTAATGGGTCAACATTCACTTGAGAGCTTTCCCTAATAACTACATCAGTTGTGAAAGTGAAATGCTTTAACAATGTATGCGCATGTACTATGCAGCAGAGATTTCAGCATACAGCTTGGATCCAGCAATCAGATTTCATAGAAATTATTGTTAAAATAACTGTAGTGCTGAGTATATAGTATATTGTATGATTGTTCATATCTTCAAATGACAGCAGCAAATATGTGACCAATTATTCCAAAAATTTTGCCTCTCTCTCTCTCTCTCTCTCTCTCTCATGAAAAGCTGCTTTTCAAATATTTTCAATATCATTGAATGAATTGTCCATGAGGAGTTCTTTTTATTAGTGAACCAGAACATGAATACTAGCCACACACTAGATTAATGTGCCGCATGTTGATCACTTGGACCTAGAAGACAATCCTTACTTAGCTCTAAATTACTTATATTCAGCATTCAGTCACATCCAAAAAAACTAATTTCTTTCAGGGGGCCATGTCACTTAAAGGAAGAATCCATGTTTCCATTGGCACTGTTCTCTAATATCGCTTTCCTCACTCTCTGATGGTGTGTCAGTCTCATTACTCTCTGCCTCATTCTCTTTATCACTAGCATACATTCTGCGTATCCCCTCATTCACCTTAGAGCAGTTTATAGTGCTATTAGGAGCATAGGAAACACTTAAACACATTCTAACTCGAGGTGCAAGTTCAAATCTACTTGCTAGTTTTGAGCAACTTCTTTGTACTCCTGTTTTTAACATCAGGTTTGTTTCATGTGAACGTCAGTAAGGAAGGAACATTACCTGCAGACACATTCTAAGATCACAGACTACTAAATTACACACAAAAAGGATGTAGGTGCAATAAAGCAAGGGTGAAAGACCTATGGGCCTATTCACTAAGCTGCCGTAGGCAGCCGAGTGAACGACCGACCTGAAGCGAAGTGAGCCGAATGCTGTTCGGCTATTCACTTCAGGCTGGTACGGCTGATTCCAGTTGTATATTGGCTGAAAACAATGTTTGTGTCTACTGCCATCAATATATTCTTCTTGCCATGACTGCCTTCTTCTAGTACTAATAAAATTCCAAACGTGTTATGTTAATCCTTTTATGTCTATATGTTTTTTTAAACGTTGTTTATTGCTCTCAAAACAGTTGCACAAAATGTACACATGTATACAAACCCATTATGCATATGTACAAAAGACATATAATGTAATAGCGAATGAAAACAGACAATCAAATAATGGAACAAATGCTGACTCAAGTGAGTCAACATCACTAACACATGGTCAGATACCAAATTTAAAGTAAACTTACAGTTGATTTCCAAGATTACACTTAGAGGGCCAGAGTGCCTTTAGTTCGAAGTGTAGATTCCCACCTTTTATAAAATGTAATTAATAGTCTTCCTCCCAAACATAACCTTCACATAAGGGATAATCTGATGTATCAAAACCTATCATAAGGATATGCTAAGGAGAGATCATCTATTACCAATGGTCTTGCAAGCCATGAACAATGTTTCCTGTAGCACAATTCTTACGGGTCTAATCACTAAGCTGCCGTAGGCAGTTGAGTGAATAAACGAAGTGAAGTGAGCCAAACGCTGTTCGGCTATTCACTTCAGGCTTGTACGGCTGATTTCAGCCGTATATCGGCTGAAATCAGCTGTACATCGGCTTGCTTCGTGCGGTTTCGGGTCGGCCGAACATGCTCAGCTTGGCTATTCTGCTCGGTACCTCTGTGTTACCCAGCAGAATAAAAAAACAGTAAAAAAAGTAGTACAAAATAAAATAGAAAACGATTGGGAGGAGCTAGCAGTAACAGCAAGCTCCACCCAACTGTTTTCTATTGGCCGGGCGGTTCTGCTGCCGTCAAAAAAAAAAAAATTGCCATAGCTTTGCTAGATTCCTATTTCAATTTGAAATTTTTTTTTATTCTGACGGCAGCCAACGGCTCCATGTCAGAATAAAAAAAAAAGAAAAAGCAGGGAAAGGTTTACTCTGCTTGAGTAGAGTAAACCTTTCTTGGAGAAAGTGTTTCTCTCCTGGGCGGCCGGGAGACTCCCGGAGCGCCCGGGAGAGTTGGGTTGTCTGGAGATCAGTGTCCCTGGTTAGCTGGTAACCAGGGACGCTGATCTCTGCAAGTGGCCGGAGCCAGCCGTAAGATCACGGCTGGCTCTGCCCAGCTGTCAGAAGCAGGCTGTCGGCCGGCCGCTTGACCAGCTTCGGCTTTCACCTCAGCTCAGTCGAGCCGAAGCATATGCCTTTGGCTCGACTGAGCTGCCCGACCCACTTCGGGAGCTGTATGGGCTTTAGTGAATAGCCTCAGGCTTGTACGGCTGATTTCAGCCGTATATCGGCTGAAATCAGCTGTACATCGGCTTGCTTCGTGCGGTTTCGGGTCGGCCGAACATGCTCAGCTTGGCTATTCTGCTCGGTACCTCTGTGTTACCCAGCAGAATAAAAAAACAGTAAAAAAAGTAGTACAAAATAAAATAGAAAACGATTGGGAGGAGCTAGCAGTAACAGCAAGCTCCACCCAACTGTTTTCTATTGGCCGGGCGGTTCTGCTGCCGTCAAAAAAAAAAAAATTGCCATAGCTTTGCTAGATTCCTATTTCAATTTGAAATTTTTTTTTATTCTGACGGCAGCCAACGGCTCCATGTCAGAATAAAAAAAAAAGAAAAAGCAGGGAAAGGTTTACTCTGCTTGAGTAGAGTAAACCTTTCTTGGAGAAAGTGTTTCTCTCCTGGGCGGCCGGGAGACTCCCGGAGCGCCCGGGAGAGTTGGGTTGTCTGGAGATCAGTGTCCCTGGTTAGCTGGTAACCAGGGACGCTGATCTCTGCAAGTGGCCGGAGCCAGCCGTAAGATCACGGCTGGCTCTGCCCAGCTGTCAGAAGCAGGCTGTCGGCCGGCCGCTTGACCAGCTTCGGCTTTCACCTCAGCTCAGTCGAGCCGAAGCATATGCCTTTGGCTCGACTGAGCTGCCCGACCCACTTCGGGAGCTGTATGGGCTTTAGTGAATAGCCCGCACAGCAGCTG